GCTCCCAGCAGGGCTTGCAGTGTCCCAGCTGCCTGCTGGGAGCAGCCCAGGCTCCCAGCTGGCAGCAGCTACCCAGAGCTGGGGCTGGCTGCAGCCAGGAGGCTGCAAATAGTTCCTGCCTTCCCCGCCCCAACACATGCCAAGGAAAAGGGCCTTGCATGCCATGCCTGGCACACGTGCCGGGGGTTACCGACCCCTGGTCTATAGAGATTTTTTGTAATAAGAGAAACAACAGTGTCATCCAGCGGACATTCACCCACAGGGAGGAAATCAAGAGACCGTGTTCTGTTTCAAGGTGTCCTACTGACTCGCTGTATGAAAGTGGACCGTTCTTTGGGGGTCTAGATTTTCTGGTGTACCAAGTTTCCATCTGGTCCAGTAGGAAGGATGGTGGCTCATCAGTGAGCAGCCTATGATGTATGCTGCTCCATGTTGCCAATTCCCATGTGTTCAAAAACAAATCACTAGTCAGATTTTGAGATATTTTAAAAATAAACTCACTCCTAGTTGTTGGTCTATCTGCTGTTCCATGCCTAAAAAACAACACAGAGAGTGATGATAGTTGCTATCCAGTGCAGCCATATGCTGTGGCAAGGTGGAAATAGGACCTAGATGCAGATGTTCTGTCCCCCAAAACCAAAGCCCATTTTTGTACCCACGGGCCATGTTCAGATGGGCAGGGGTGTGCGCTTGCAACAACAAAAAAAAACACATCCTTGAATGTGCACTTTGGTGAGGAACACATTGTCCCGCTTTGGGCAAACTGCCCTTTCTCCACTCCTCCCGGCTCCGAGCAGCCAGGGCACAAATGAAATAATAGGATGCTCTGGCCAGCAGCCAGAGCATCTCCCTGGAGGATCTAGCCTCCATTTGTTGGAGTGTGCACTGTGCTGCTCTTTTTTCTGCCTTTTTTTTCCCTACAGGGAAATACTGGTAGCAAAATTTGCCCCCACACTGCAAATTTGCACTGCAGGGCACATTTTAACATTCTGGTTGTGTGGTTTGTGGTGCTGCAAGGAGGTTTGTGGCACCACAAACCACACATGTCTGCATGTCTGGACTTGATCACAGAGTAGCATAATGGGAGAAAGAATCTAGCCTTCTCAGTCTTACTTTTTTAACTTAAAAATTGATATCTGCTCTTGTAAGGCAAGATTTTTGTTGTTTGGAGTTTTCTAGGTACTTAATAATACTAAAGAAATCAAATCCATTCATGGGAAATAAAAATGAAGGGATACTAAGAGGAAAAAAAACTCTAGAGAAAACAGCAAATCTTTGGTCTCTTCAGATTAAAGGAACTATGCAGCTGTGAATAAGGTGAACAGGAATTAGTCCAAAACATGATAGTTGCTATCTGTCTGTGGGAGGGCTGTAGGATAAAGTGACTTTTCTTCTGCTGCTGTTGTAAGAGCACAAACACGTCATTGTAAGATTTTTTAAACCTGAGAATGAAGGCAAGAGGAATACCATAGTGCAGTAATTCCATTAAACATAAAGCAATGTTTTTTAAACCACAGAATGAGGTTTCTATTGCTAATAAATGTTGACAGCACCGTAAGTCTTCTTGTACCAGGCAGACTTCAAAAGTCTGTTCTGTGCAGTGTTGTAGTTATTTGAATATGAATGTGAGCTTGCAGCAGGGCACAGTTTCTTAGTCTCACTGGGGTAGGTCCAGACTGCAGTGCGCTTCCTAAACTGACAATTATTTCATGTTTTCCAGGGGAAAAACATAAAAGAAATAATGTGGGCCTGTGGAGTTTTAATTGATGCAGTGCATGCTGCTTAGAGCATTGGAGCTCAACTCAGGCACATTAAACCTTATCTCTTCTTCTTATTATTATTTTTTTTTAGGAAGAGATATGTCCTGAAGTTGAAGGTGAAGCCACTCAGTCCTGCCTCTGGGCTTCAGCCATCAATGTCAGAGACAAGTATATTTATGTGACGCAGCCCAGGCAAAATAGAATACTGATTATTGATATCCAGACCCAGAAAGTCATGCAGGTATGTATCAAGGGAGAAATGTGTTCATGGACCATAAAAAAGTGTTGATATGCCAACAAATTAGGTTCCTGCCCCGTGGAGCTGCTGACTCTGCTAATAAATTGGGCGTGTACTGTTTTGACCCATCAGGTAACTCCAAGTCAGTGACCAGGCTATGATCTCAGTGTAAGAAAAACTGTTTTATGGCCTAGATAGTCTTTGCACTGTGCCTGGAGCCAAGTTTGCAGCTATCTCGATTCAAAAATATGTCTAACCTACACTTGCTGAGCGTAATCTTAGTTACAGCCAGATTGAAACACATGCCATTGCCCAGGCATAACTCAAGCAGAAACTGGTACAAGAGAGGTGGTACTATCACCTAACTTGGAGGTCTTCTGGAGGAGGCTTGCTAGACACCTGGCTGGGGTCATCTGACCTCGGTCCTCTTTCCTGCCAGGGGCAGGGGATCCTTTGTGGTCCCTTCTGACTCTACAATCTATGAATCTATGGTTCCTGCTCTACTGACTACAAGTTTTAGTGTGAGACGAGTGCTCATACTACTTTCCTTGCCAAAGCAGAGGAAGTGGTACTTTATGGCCATGTTTCTAGCAATGTTTGCAAGTCAATATTACCATAAATCTGCATGAGCCACCTTTAATTTGCTAAATAAAATTAAACACTTATATTTCTGTTCTTTGAAGTCTGTGGATGTTGATCCCCTACCTACCAAATTACATTATGATAAGTCACATGACCAAGTCTGGGTCCTTAGCTGGGGTGATATGCAGAAGTCTCATCCAACACTGCAGGTAAGTTAGCATTTCTCTCTAACAGCACTGTTGGCTATAACAGCATTTTGTGTCTTGACAGATCTATTGTGCATTTGCCTACTCCCCCCTGCATCCCTGCACTTCTGGTGGTTTGATTTGGTTTTGAGAAGTTTATATGCTGTAGACCAGCAGGGGGATTGCTGAACAGCCGATGCCCATTTTGTTTCAGGATTGATAACGGAGCCTCATGGAAGGACATATAGAAAGAGTTGGTAACCAACTGAGAAAAATATAAATATGCAGATAACGTTCACAGCGATTTAGGTAGTCTCACTTCAGTTTGACAGGATCCTTAAAGCACACCTGGCTCAAAGTGCTTACAAGATAGCTATACGGGCACACCTCTCTTTCTAGTGAAGAAATATTGGAACTTATACAACAGTTAAAAGGCCACGTACAGACAAGCACAGACGTTGGGTACATGGTGCATGCAGGCATTCCCTGTGTTGCTACTTTGCAGCATGGAGGGGGTTTTTTGGCCCCGGGAGATCCTGGAGTTAAAAAAAACCCACACCCAAAAAAGGCAGGGTGGCGCACATGGCAGCAGCGTGTGCCGCACAAAACCGGAGACTGGCCAGTCACAGCTACACTCCAGCTGCTGGCCAGACTTCCTGCCACGGCTGCAAGCCTGGGAGGCCCCCAGGACCCCAGATAAGGCTGCTGGGGCCAGCACAGATGCTGGTCCCAGCCTCCCCTACCCCACCTGGGTAACTTGCCACGCACCACAGCATGCATGGCACGGGTGTTCCCTGGAGACAAGGTATATCGCTGCTACTCGTCCCCAAACGTCTGTGCTCGTCTGATGTGGCCAAAGAGACCATTTCTTAAGGAGTGCAAATTAAGACAACTCTGACCCGTGCAATGGTCAAATGAGTCCCACAAGGCCCGCATCCTGCTGAGCAGGGGAAAGGCAGTTTGCCCAAAGCAGGACAGTTTGTCCCTCAACTAAGTGTGCATGCAAGGGTGTGTGCTGCGGCATGGAACAGTGGCACAAATTTGTGCCGCTGCTACTTTTGGCACTGCAAGCGCACACCCCTGCTTGACTGGACACAGCCAATAGGTGCAAGTTAAACCCTCATTTTATCTCCAGTTCAGCACTAGAATCTCCCTAGATAATGTAGGGCTGCGTATGACACCATATATTGCATGGTGCTGTAAATGCTGTTGCTCCTTCAGAACTGCGTCGACAGTTATCGGTCCCTCTGAACACACCGTCTTCTCATTTTTAACATCAGAGAAGGGCAGTATGTTAACTGCTGTTCTTTAGTATCAGCTACCTTAGTATGAAACCAAGCTTTCTTCCTAACATTGCATTGCTGTTTGTTTTCATTGAATTCCACTGGTTTTATTTCACTTCCTTTCCCCTTCCCCTTCAGCTTCTTTTGGGGATAACTATGGTGCACAGGATAAGAATATTTCCCAGTAGATTTCTAATGTTTCTCATTTCAATATATTCTAATGCTTCCAATTTTCAATAGATTTCTAAAGTTCTGATTTCTTTAAAAGACAAAAACCCTGGGTTGTTCACTGCTTCAGAGAGTTAAAATATTGGGAGGTAAAAAGGAGCAATAACTGAACAAATTCTGCACACTCAGCTTCAAATCCTTCTTACTGAATAAAATGGTTGGATACTTTCCAAAGCAGCCCTCGAGGCAGGGGGCGAGAAAAAGGAAGGGGGGAGGCAAGAAGCACGCACAAAAATGGGACAAATTCTGAATTTTTAGAACAGACCAAATGGCAAGTATTGTCCCTGACTTTTTGTCTGTAGGGACAAAGGGGTCAGGCATAAAGTTCTGGAGGGCTTTCTGCAGGGAACATGAAACCCCTGCACAGCGCAGAGCTTGGCTCCAGGGAGAAGTCATGGACTATGGCTACACGCTAGCAGCAGTGGATCTTTTTCGGCTCTCATTTTTAGAGGACATAGACAATAGATTTTTTCTGGATGATCTTCTTAAACTACGTACAAGTTATTATTCTAAACATAGGGGTAACTGGTTAAAAGGAAGCTGGATTGTGGTATACAGAAGACAGACTACATGATCTAAGAGCCCTTCATGACTTGAAACCATGAATCAAGTCCACTGCATCACGTTCAATTAGGTGGAAGGTAGGCTATGTAGCCTCTCCAGACTTGCAGCTGGGTAGATTTCTCTCCCTGTTCCCTCAGAAAAGCTCAGTGGCGTCCTGAGCTATCAAGCCAGTCCTTTGCTTATCGACAGTCGCCTTCAATGGACCCGTTGCCAGGACACTACACAGCATGCATTGCCACATGTATTTGACAAGCCATTTGGATCCCACAAAACAAATGAGAAACCCTGCATATGGGCTGATGGGTATCGAAATACAGAGTGTAGAATTGCAATTCCTGAGACAAAAGAAACTGAATGATGACAAGCAAAGAGAAGTTTCTGAAGCAAAATCAGCTTGCTTCCTTTATGGGTAACCATTCCCCATGCAAGGTACAGGAAGGAAAAAAATAGGTTCTCGTTACCCTTTCCCACTTAATTTCTTCCATCCAGCTGTGAGAGGTTGCTGTAATTAAAGGAAAGATGGCACAGGCTGGTGATTATTAACAAGAATATACTATCTGCACAGCTGGAAACTTGTTGTGAGGCTATAGCTCTCAGATGGTCCTTTTGGTTACACATGGAGAATATCAGATTAACAGCAGCAGCAGCCTACCTTTTATTTTCCCGGTTTTTCTCCAAAATAAGTTTGTAGTGACTAACGTGAAGAGGTTTCCCACAGCCTTCTAATAAAAATATTCCACTGTATGAATAACTTGCTCTACTTTTTCTCCCTGCCCTCAGAAATCAGGACTTTATCAAACAACTCTGCAGCCTAGGAATGGGCTGCCATTGTTTAGCTGTTACTAGTTGTGGGAAGTCAACCTAGGAAACTCCCTGGCTTTGTGAAAACACTCTGCAAGAATTGGCATGTTTCTTGAGCAGATTAATTGGAAGAAATTTAAATGGCATGACCAGAATGTCTCAACTAAGCCTTTTCAGGTTTCAGATTGCCTGTAATGAATTGTGAAGCCATACATTCAAAAGAACTACTATTAGCACATGACATTAGCAAAAGCTCCTAATGAATTGACCTAAGCCATCTTAAACCAAAAAACAATCCCCATAAACAATGTCAGTATTTAACATTTTAATTATTGCAAAATTCTATCCCCTCTTTGCTGAGGTTGTGGGAGATAATAAAGCTGAGTTTCCATGGCAGCAGAAGGTATGCATTCTGCTGGAGGATAACACTGAGAAAGTGAAAGCACCTTTTTCTGCTCTTCTGTGTATTTTATACGGTGCAATAAATGGGTGAACATTTCTTCTCCTTCAAAGTGATAATTAACTGCTGTGAGTTAGTGTCTGATCATTCAAGTCAGTGAATTATCACTGTGCATTTAAGTGAGATTAATAAATATGACCGTGAAATAAATGTTTATTTTAGACAGCGTGGAATAGATTACTGTGGGTTTAGCGTTGTCACACTATTTCAGTTCCTGCATGATTGCATTGTCTTATGAACGTAAAGAGAGTTGTGCACTTACTTTACAAATGTCAGGCTTAAAATACCATTTTATTAATACAATTTTTCAAGACTGCTACTCCAAACAATATTTTGAAGTTATTAATCAATTTGAATCTACTAGATATCCAGCAAAATCATTTTGGTGTAATACACAGTTATGGAAGCTGTATTAACTTATTTTTGTTTTATTCATTGCTTTCACTGTGCTCAACTTTGTGGTTATTTATTGTAGGTAATATCAGAGGCAAGCACAGGGGAAAATCAGCATATCATCCGGACACCATTTGAAGAAGTGGATGATTTTTTTATACCACCTACTAATCTTATTATTAATCACATTAGGTAAGACACAAACTTTATGATGATAAAGATAAATACTCATTGTTGTTCTTTGTGCATCTAGTGGGCCTCTGTCTAATCATCTTATAGCACTTTACAGATGAATAAAGGAATGCGTGATACATTAAGTGTTATTATCCCCATTTTGTCATGCAGACACAGAGGCATGAAGAGACAGACAGCGAATTGCCCAAAGTATTTCTGTAAGTCCATGGTTGCATAAAGACCAGGACCCTGACCTGCAGGCTCTAGATACCAAGCATTAACCTTAAGTCCAGTGTGTAAAAAAAATGTAAGGGTGCTTATACACAAGCAGGGAGGCTGCTCCAACCTGCTGCAATTCCAGCACATTGGACCAGACTCGATGAATCAAGTTGACTGGAGTGTAGAAATTACCAAACTCCAGCAGCCTCATGCAACTCACGTATCAGTGTCTCTACACAAGCTCCGTTCAGGGATATTTAGATAAAGTGCCCCTGCCACCATTTTGAAGTATGGGGACACTGATACACGAGACGTTCCAGGTGCTTTAATTACAGTGGCTCTTGGAGCCACTCTAGTTAAAGCACCCCCCCACACACACTTCCGGAGCACATGTATAAATGCCCTAAAATTCTAAAACCCGGAACAAAAACTGGACTTGGGCTCTGTGAAAACAACTGACTTAGGTGCCAGGCCCTTAGAGTGGAATCCAGAACTCTAGCCCAGTGAATCTTTAATTCTTCTCTGCAAAGTAGCACACATGTGGCTATGGAGCAAAGGAAAGCAATGAACCTGGTTCTCCCACCTCTTAGGTGGTTGCTGTAATTGTACAAAGGGTGCAACTGGCACCACAGCCAACCCCTCCATCTTCTCCAGCCATATGTCAAAAGAAAGCAATGGCTGCCACTGACTTTTTTTGTGTGTAGCTTACCCCACTAACCATGCAATAAGTTTTCAGAGCTCAACTACCAGATTGAGCCCCTCAGTGGACATAAGCAGAACGACACATACTTTGTGGACCATGACAGGGTTAGACATAAGCTAGCTCATAGCACAGTTGAAGCAGTTTTGGATTTTCACAGAAATGACACTTTGAAAACTCAGGCTTCTTTGGAGTTCAGGTGCCTCCAGCGTTAGTCAGAATTAGAGCAGAGGTTTTCAGGGACACCATTTTGTACACTGGGAACACATAGAGGGTGCATATGGGTGCACGTGCACCCCCTGAGTGTGGCAGTTCACCCCCTGTAAAAAGGCACTACTGACACTACCAGCAGCACCTACAGGCAGTCACCAGTCACCACCCTACCCCCTCACCACTGACACCATTGATGGCATCTGCGGGTGGTCCACGATTGGTGCTGGCCACTGCTGACACTGCTGGTGGTGTCTGCAGGTGATTGCTGACGGTCGCCACCCCCGACAGTGCCACTTCCACCTGCAGGAGCTCCCCATTTACCACTGCCATGCTCCCATTGCCAACAGCACTGCTGCCACCTGCAGAAGCTCATCATGCCCCTCTAGCCCCCAGGGGCACACAGCGTTCATGATTTTGTACTTACATAACTAAAGTAGGACTTAGTGGGCATGTCTGCACAAGACACTATGGCAATGTAGCTCATCGCTACCATGACACTGATGCTACGTTGTCATAGTGATGAGCCTACCTCACTATAGTGAGTCACTACAGCAACATAGCTGCTAAAAATAACTGCACCGCTGGGATGATGCAATAACAGCAGTTACTACGCCATCATTTAGTACTTCCTAAAGCAAGTACTATATGATGATGCAGTAACAACTGCGCCATGGGGGGCACACATAGACGCGCCCACTGATAAGTTTTTGTGATCTGGTTCAAGTGCTTCAGTGCCACCTAACTGTCAGTTAAGATTCACTGCCAAGGGTGGTTAAGGCATAACAGATAGCTGTTGGCTACCTGCATCTCAAATAGCTATTTGCATGCCCCGCATCATAACTGTCCAGAGTAATGATGAAGAGGACAATCTGCAAATTCCCCACCTAACCGCCCAGGTGCCTGAGAAGTTGCAGGCACCTAAGATTTTGCTAGAAAACTAATGTAGCCCTCCTACCATTCTGTTATTGTACATGCTTGGGATGCCAGCCCTCTTGCCTGAGCTCACTATCCAAGTCCTCTGAGAGGTCCGGTCCATGAGACATGCTTAGAGCATATAGACCACATACCAACAGCACTGGGTTCAAAACACAACAAAACAGCCATGGCTGACTTCACTTAAAAAGGGTTGTGAAAGTGTCACCAAGCTGTCATATAACAGCCTACTACTTAGAGGGCTCTTCCTGCCCTCCTCCTCCTTCTTAAAGAAAAGAGCAGCACTTAACTATATCCAAAGACACAGCTTAGAGTGTTTTTCCTGTGCAAAATACAGAATGTTATTACTATTTTTCTATTTCATTTACTCGTGGCAGATTTCCATAGGCACATTTCCAGAATTCCACCTTTCTGGCATGGACACATGACACTTACTACAGAGTTGTTTACATTGGATTTTGTCCCCCATGAGTGCCAAAATACTTTTACATGTTTCTGTCGATATATTTCAACTACCTAAAAATCTAGGAATTCACCCATTTTATTAGTAGACTGGGCAGGTTGCTGTCCATTAAAAACACACTAAAAGTGAGATTTTTTATCAAGGTGTCAGAGTACAGGCACAGCATCTCATCAACAGCTGTGTGCACATAATGCACACTCTGACCCACTTTTTCAAATTAGAGTTTATGATAAGAGTCTACGTTATTTTTTACTTGTTTAGGCATTTGGCCAACTATTAAGGAAGCCTTGAAACAAATGCTACATAAGGAGGCCTTTAAAAAAAATGATACAAAACCAACAATTTTCCATGTGCAGTCATCCAGGAGAAATCCAGGTGTCATCTTCAATTTCCTTCATACAGAGCACCCTATGAATCTCCACTGCAGATATTTTAAGTGAAATTTCTAAAGGATGTGAGCATAATGGGGAAATGAAAGACTGAACCCAGCGATTTTCACGGGATCCTACAAAACAGTGGCTTATTCTTCAGGAGTGAAATCACTGCTGAATGTCTTCACTGATGCTCTAATTTAGAATAAGGAATTAAACGCACTGTTTTAGGAAAAATATATATTTTAACTGTGTGCACACAAGTCTTCTGCAACATTTCATAAAGTGATTTTACATCTTTCCGAGAAGAGCTGCAAACCAAAATATTCCATTAATTTCCTTCTCTCTGCACTGAGTGGATGAGCAGCCACTCAATGTAAAATTAATTTTCAGTCTCGTAAGTGAATATCAGTGACCTGTGATTTGGAGGGAACATAGAATGTGCTATTTCTATGGTCCTCCTTTCAAATTAAATAGAAACATTGCTTGGCTATTCTTGACCTTTTCCTCTGTTCAACAAAGGTCAGATGCACTGTAGCATGTACCTTTTATAGAACATTTAATCTGGGTTCATTTTATTTTCTAGTCTCTCTTGAGACTGAAAACAGAGACCCCTATTTTCCACTGCACTGGTGCCTCTCTAAGGGGGATCATCTGAGAGAACTATTAGGTAGAGGGTACCCTGCACCCTAACATCCCTGCCTCCTATAATGACCCCTGGAGCCATTAGCGGTAAGTCAATTAGAACTGCTCTCAGTCTGGTCTAATATAGGGTAGGGGAACGGGACCAGCAGACCTGGAATTTAGGGCACTGAGCAGGTTTCAAACTACCTTTGCACCTTTTCCCCTGTTAAGGATCAGGCCCCAAATATGCTGTATTTAGACAAGGTGCCATATCAAGCCACAGAACAACTGAAATCCATGTTGGTCATACAGATCCAGAATAATTTGCAACTGAAGTAGTTATCCATCAAGTGGAACATCGTCCTGCATACTGTTCCTGTGTTAAAGTAGGCCTTCCCAGTAAAAGCGGACTACTAATGTTGATAGAACAACTCAAGTGAGCAAGGAATCTTGCTTGCAGCATTCAGGTCCCTAATTTGTAATCCCATCGTAAACCAAAAACATTGCTTTTTTAGCACATTTTAGAAGAATGAGAATGACAGAGGCTTCACGTAGGAAAGAGAGTACATTACACACAAGGCAATGGCATTGAGTCTTCCAGTTCTGCTGATTTATGAGTTCTCTCAAGCATGTCACCAAGTCTCCAGAGATGACTTCAGTATCATGTTTTCTGTTTCAGGTTTGGTTTCATCTTTAACAAATCGAAATCTGCAGTTCAAAAAATTGACCTGGAAACTGTGACCCACATCAAGACTATCAGCTTCAAAAACTATAGCTGCATCCCACAGACCATGGCCTATACACACTTGGGTGGCTACTTCTTTGTCCAGTGTAAAAAGAATACGTCGGTAACTGCATTTCCCCAGCTTATTATTGACAGTGTTACAGATTCTGTGATCGGCCCCAACAGCGGCGTATCGGGCACACCCTATATTTCACCTGATGGGTGCTTTTTGGTCAGTGCAGATGAAGACAGTGGCAGGATCAAGGTCCAGGCAATAACCATCCAAGGGGAAATCAAGTTGATTTATGACTTACAAACAAATGTGCATATATCTGATCTGACATTTCAACCCTCTTTCACTGAAGGCAACCAGTACTATATATATGCTACTTCACATTTGCAAACAGATGTGCTTTTTGTAGAGCTGTCAACAGGGAAAATGAATGTCCTGAAGAATTTAAAGGACCCTATCATATCCAAAGACTGGCCATGGAGCAGCTACAACAGAATTATGAAAGACAGTGGATTATTTGGACAGTACCTTATTACACCAGCTAAAGATTCACTGTTTGTTATTAATGGGAGACAAAACACATTACGCTGTGAGATTTCAGGTATCAGGAGAGGTAACACAGTGGTCTGGGTTGGAGAAGTATGAAAGGGCAAAAAAGTAGAGCCAACAGCAGACAAATACTGGTTGGACCTTTACACTGCAACAAACAAGCAGTCGCATTGTATATTTTTACACTGGAAAAAAACCTGTATAAGCTTCATGGTGCAACACTGGTCTACTTGCAAGTTCTCTAGTATAAGGTATGCTCTGCTAATAGAAAGTGGGTTTTGTTGGGAATTTTTTTGTTTGGAAGTATGATTTATGGTTATGAAAAGAACACAGTCTGGGAAAAGGAATAATTTCTCCACCGAGCTATTATATGAACCATGTAACTTGGCAGTTCTGTAGAACAAAACAGCTTCTGAGTTTCAGGAATGACAAGTCTTATGTTCAAGTTCTCAATTTTCATTCAGTCTACACACCAAACCTCCTGTACCTCTGGTTATTGAACCACCTAACTATACCACCTTTAATGTAGAGTGGAAAAGCCAGAGGCAAAACTGCAGTTAATACTCGTCTGTGAGCAATGAGGGAAAAATTAACATCACAAAAAGCATTTTTCAAAATGCAGAAATCTAGGGAGAGATTTAATGAAAACTGATAGGTTTTCTTTGCAGGATGGATTTTAAAGAATACTTTGAGGTGTTTTTAAAACCAAAAATGGCAGAAACAGCTCTTTTTCTTCCCTCTCCTTTGCTCTTGGCACTACCAAAAGCAATATTGTAAAGTCCCACCTCTTCTGGTAGGTAGAAAGAATATCACCTAATTGTATTTGAGTAACTTGTTGCTGAAAAAAAATGAGGTGGTAGGGTTGATTTTAAAGCTAGAAAGCATGAATGAGTCTGATTGGTTGAATTTTCTACATTCTCAAGAAGCAGAGCACTCCACCTTAGACACCAAGTGACAGAAGTCAGATCCGTCATTGTGTGCAAGAACGCATGCATTCCAGCACGCGGGAAAGTAGCCAAGGGTGCTCCCATGAGAGGTTGTCCTAGAAGTTGCTCATTTCCCTTATTAAAAATGTACTAGCATTGAAGTCACTTGGTTCTTCATAAAACAATGGCTACATCTCCAAATGCAAGACTTTCAGCAGTATTTTTTTAACAGAAAGCTTTCACCCTTTATAATCTAATCCTTAATTTACATGTCTCTCAACAAAGATTCTCAGAGATTTTTTCTTTTGCTTTTTCTTTCCATTTATAGCACTCTTGTTTATAGTCAATCACCATTTAGTTACAAGCAAAGAGATTCATGTAAAACCAATTAAATTACCCCAGAATGCAACAGCTGGCATTGAGAAATTTAAGTTGCTTTCCCATAAAAATGTACATTCATTTGCACATTTAGAGAGATATAAAAGAAAAACTCACCAGTTCCTTTTCAAAGCTTTCCCTTTTCATCACCATGAAATAATCAGGATAACAGCAGCTATAGGTACATTTTCAAAATTATTCAAGCCATACAAATACTTTATAAATAGCAAAAGATGAGCAGCTATACCCCACACTGCTTTGAAAAGGTAAATTTGATGTTGGTGCAAGCTCCCTCTTCTACGATAGGCATTTGTTGCATCACAGCACTTGGCCTTTTGAATGACATGGAGACAGCTATTCTCTAAAATGACCTTTGTTGCCCAGAGTTTATACGAAAGCAATTTCTGAATATATACGGTGGTACTTAAAAGGTGCGGTAACCGTTGTTTTGGGGGGGGTTTTAAACACAGATGCTTAAGAGTCACCTTCTTCACAATGCACATAAAAGGATTTTAAATCAAAAGACTGCAGACTAACTCCAGTAACCTTTGCTTTAAATGTTTACCTTTTACCAAAAGAGTTGCATTTTCGGATGGCTGTAAAATCAAGTTATTTGAACCATCTTAGTTCTGTAAAAAAATAATTTAAAACCTGTTCAGGCAGACAAAGAAGAGGAAATGAATCCTATGAATTCATTAAACATGAACTCCTTTAAATTGCCCTTTCTACCACTGATAGGCAGAAACCTATATATTTTCTCTTATGAGCCATAGGGGTTAGAAGAGACTATCCCACCATTAGAACACAAACACATACAAATTGGCATAGTCTTCATTTAGAAATGCATGTTTTTCATGGTTCACTACTCATCTGGTGTGGAAACATACACAGGTCTAGGAAAGGAGGAGATCAACTTTGTAAGTACTTTTAAATATGCACAACTCCTTTCTAAAACAAAGCTGTACTCATATATCACAGTCATCCTGAAAATGTTTTGTTAGGCCAACCACTGCTCTAGTGTTACCTTTTATGATTTCTTGAATATTTGATTATGCCTATGGAAAGTCTCCCTGTAGAGAAATTCATTGTGCCATAGATCAAGCAAATATTACTTTTATAAGAATATTTTACAAAAAAAAAAGTTGTAAATATCCGTTCAGGTAAATATTCTTGAGACTGGTTTATATATAGGATGTGAAAGATGTGTACTACACCTCACTTTTTTCTGTTTGTCTGGAAATATAGGACTAGGATTCACTCGAAAACTCCCACTTTAACCTTCCAAAGATGCTCCCGTCCTTCCCTTCTTCAGCCCACGTTCTGGTGATGTGTTTTCTAAATTATCCTACTGGCTATACCGTACTTAGAAAATGAAGTACAATTTAGATTGTCCACGCTATTTGTGAACAGTTCCAACAATGATGGTCAATCCAACATTAAAGTGCTGCACATTTGTTAATCTGGATTTTTTTCTCATGCCACAGAAAACACCAGGTTCTGTGTATCTGAAAAGTTTCCACACATTTGCCTTCAACTGTGACTGCAAGCGTATTAAATCCCCATAGTTAGTTTCTTTTCCATTCCTTTGCTGTATAAGTAACAATTTCTCCACCGCGTCACATTTCTTTCCTGGTTAATAAATTACTAATCACGGTGATGAACTTAAATGAATTTAAATTTAATTAACAAATAATTAGTTACTCTAACATATGCATGTGTCATTTGGGTGGCCAATCTGATGGACATGAGGAGCTCAGGAAGGAAAAAAAAGGGGCTAGTTTAAGATAGGCATCCAGTCCTAGAGGTTGCATGCAGTTTCCATTCATTGCTTAAATTTAGTGACAGGTCAACAGAACTATCCTTGCTGTTCTCAACATTGACCTTTTCTTCCTCCGCTCTAGTCTAAATAAGGGAATCTCTTTTAGTAGCACTAGCTATTCAGCTTAAGACATGAGCAGCAAGCAGCTTTGAAACAGTCCAAGTTTCAAAAAGGGGGGTAGGGGCAAGAGCAGGAGTCCTGTGATTTGTGTGTGTCCCATTTCTATTTCATTTTTTGCTGTCTGGCTTGACTTTTTGAACCTTCACACCTGAATCGCTGTTAGAATTCTGCAGGTGTTGGGTGAGCAAACCCTTGAAACCAGCTGGATTAACATCAACTAAGGCAGAAGCCACCCAGAAGCCTCCTTTTCATACCCAGGAAGCTACTGGAAAATCTTAACCTGGCAATTTTGGTCACTTCCCCAGTTTGTTCCCTGATTTACCATGTTTGACCCCTTTGCAAACACCTCCCAGTCCAATACATGCACAGACATTTTTGCTAATTGATGCCAGAACTCTGTAACATAGATCGAAAAGTGGGGCTGGAAGAGACCCCTGGAGGTCATCTGGGCCAACCCACAGTCTGAGGTCATCCCTATTCAACTCATCCTATACAAATCCTTGTCTAGCCCATTCCTAAACCACACAATCAACCCTGTCCCACAACTACAAGGTATAGCACCCTAACCTGCCAAAGTGGCCTGTTGCTGCAAGGGTTGTTAAAACAGGGTCAGCATCATGATTACTGCTTGTGTATTACAGGGCCCCAAAAGTGGGCTAGGTGCCTCCCAAGTCAGAAAAAAATATCTGGATTTTTCTTCCCTAATCTAATATCAAATGTGACTTTACAAAGGCTAACAAGATGAAAAAAGAGGACTGCTGAAAATATATGACTGATGGCACTATTACTGGGTTACCAAGACATGGGCACAGGTTGATGCAGTCAAGACGTGCTCTTTTTTTTCCTCCAGTGTCAGCAAGTCACGTACCACTCAGAGCCTTAGATTAGAAAAACATTCATGAAAATCTATGAGTAACACTGCTTTCTGTTCACCTAGCATTTTTTCCATTAGCCTAGTTTGGTGGGTTTCTTATAACAAAATTCCCTGTGTAACTTTTTCTTGACTTCTCAAGTCAACATAAAAGGAGACAGAGCCAAGCAGCAGCTTTCTGTAGGTCTGACTGCAGTGTGTATCTGGAAACATGTCACTTTATGCCCTAAGAGCTTGTTTTTGCTGTGCAACATCTAAGGCCAAATTCTGCTTGTCCTTCTGTGACAAGGCCCCTAACTTGCACGTGAGGCCACGAGTCCCAAAAGATCCTGAGCTAAAAGCTGATCTTTCCTGACTCACCTTACCAAAAAAAAAAAAAAGTTTTCTTTTTCTTTTAAGTACCAAAAATACACAGCACACTACCACTACAGAAAAATGACGGAGATCAACTTTAAATTCACCTCTGCTTGCTACGTGTCCTAAGAACTTATTCTTCGTCGTAATTATAGTTGCCCGCAAGCCCTAAACATCATAAAACCCTATATTTTGGTACACTTTTTCTCTCTCCCCCTGATCTCCTTCCATCCCCTGCTGTCCTGTAGTTAACCTCCCAGACCGACAATGGCAGTGACTGTTCTCTTATCCTCCTGGATTCCTGTCTGAATTGCAAACCCCCTCCCGCTCCCGGATGTAGCTGTAAGTTGCTGCTGCTGCACTGACTGCTACTCGGGGATGCAGGCACATGCTCACCTACCTCTATCTCCTACTTCTCCAAGTCAGACCCCATTACCATGCCATACAGCTTTGCCTTTCCCCATCCATTTGTTTCAGGGATTGTTGTATTTTTATTTTGGGAGGTTTTGTTAGCTTTCTGAACCATAAAGCAAAAGCCAAAACTTTAAACATCTCTCTGGGCAGGGTAGAGAAACCCTGTGTGTTTCTTCCAGCATTTTATGAGATACCTTACTGGTGAGCATAGTATGTGATTGATTAGGAGGATAACTGTTAGCATAATTCACCCAGGTGGACCATGCTGCGACTAAACAATATTTCCTATGCAACAGATTGAGAGAGAGAGAAAGAAAATGCTGGTGGACACATTTGACCCCCACGTGCCATATATGTAACAAGAGATTTTTTTTTCTCCTGATGAGTATTTTTTTTTTAGCAAAATCGGGATGTGAGGAGCATGTAAATGATCCTGAAGAGAACAGAGGTGGTGGATTTTATCTATGTTTATATTTTATAGGAAGCAGGCAACCTAGAGGAGGAGGAGAAAAGTTAGCCTGAAACCCTGCCTGTGCCTGAGAAATGCAGATTGTGTTACCTCTTTATTTTTTAGAGACTGCTGTAGAAAGCTGCAGCAAATTGCAGTGAATGGACTGAGCTTTTGTTTCCTCTACAGAAGGGTTGTTTTGCAAATTAACCATTGCTATAAATACAGTTTGTGAAAGGGGGGAGGAGGGTTGGAGGTGTTTTTTTCCTGTGTTATAGCCACTGTCAACTGACCTATTCCTGTGAACTAAAAGAAATAAGTGAACTATTTTTATAATGGTCTTAAATACCCATCTTCACTTACTAAAGATAGGTGGAACTTAAAACTGCCACACACAAAAGTGCAAAATGCTGCTAACGTTACTGGCATAAAGGTTGTATATTTGCTTTCCCATGTCTGTGTAATGGCCTCACTTTCTCTGCCAGTTATCAAAGGGCAGGCTGATGACCTGCCTGACACACAGTCCTCCTCTGTTCAGAAATATATTGCATGAAGGTCAAACAACAACCGAGTCAGCTGGAATTTTTTTTCATGTGTCTTCAAAGCACCAGTTAATAGCTCCCTTGATTTTTATTGCAAGTGTTCTCACTTACTTACAAGCCCAGCTACAGAGAAACAACTGACTGCAGGGATGTCAGATCTCTTTTGAAGTAAGTGTTTAACCCTTATCATGACAAAGAAAATCATGAACCTGTGACGTAAGCACATCCTACAAGCTCAAAAACCTGACTGCAAGTAAGATTGCAACAGTTCTTTTAAGTTCACTATCTTTTTAAATGAGTTCATGATTTTGGGGGGACTCACAATTTTCCAAATTGTTGCAACTGGAAAAAAAATGAACTGGGAGAAGAAAAACCCTGCAATTAATTTTCTGAGTTTCTGACTAGCTCCAAACTCTAATTGAAAAACTTCAATTTCTTTATAGCGCTTCTGTCTCTTAATTAAGCTAACTTAATTAAGCACTTCCTCACAATAACCCTTGGCATGATATGGTGTTTTTGACACTTGTCTGAAGCCATCAGTTAAAAGTCAGTAAGGAAAAAGACAGACAGAAAGAAAGAAAGGATGATGACTATAGCAAGGTAAAAGCTCCCTAAATCAAACCGCAGTCCAAAATTACCAAAGTTAGAGCACTGGCGTTTGGAGAAGTTAGAGGCTTCCCTCTCAGTTCCAGGTCTGAGCACATACCTGTCCTTAATTTCTGATGGACACCAAGTTATACACCACGGTTTCTAGCTACTCTTAAACTTATCTAGCAGCAGATGTCATTCCAACATTTTCCTGTTTGTCCAGCCAAATGAAAATGAACGTATCATTTGTAATGAAAGCATTGTAACATCTTTAAAATACATGGCATCTTGAGACTGCAGGCAATGCTATCAAAGAATATGTCAGACCCAATGTTTTATTTTCATACAGTCACAACAAAGTAGTGCAAGTAACAGATAACCTACTTACAGTTATATTGGCAGCAAAGCTTCTGTATACATATAGATGACTGTTAAACTTTCACCTAATCTCTTTGTGTCTTGTGTGTGGCAACTGAGATAAAAAGCCTGGCTTAGTGTATTATACCCTCTAACTCCTGCTCCCTTTTATATAGGAGGAGAGGTGATGGCAACCTGAATTCTTATATTGGTTTATTTTAAGTTTACCTTTAGGTACACATCAGCTCTAGACCCTGGGTTTTTGAACCAGAGATGGGCCCAAAACACCGATTCCTCACCTACAATAGAGTTCAGGGCTTCAACATCTACCTATAATGGATAAGATCCACGCAACAAATCTGAAAAAATTACAGTAAGAATTTATGCCGTGGCACCTTGGGGTGTCGTGAGATCCTCTGGAGGGTCCCACGCTATATTAGCAGTGCTCGCTGTGCAAACACCTTCACATGATTCACAAGGGAGACATGGAGATCTCAAATAGGAATCCACAGTGTCAAAAGGACCGAGGTCTTTGCAACAGAAGAATTGCTCTTTTTCCAAAGTCAAAAAACAAATGACAGCTAAGAGCTGGCATTTTCTGAGGGATGACTTGAGTCTAAAGTGGTTGAGAAACACTGGTCTACGGCTTCCACATTTTCTTTCCCAATGTTAGAAGAGTCAAAGAGAGCATTAGGGCATTAGTCTGGCTTCCTGTAAAATACCGGTCATTGAATGTCACCAAGTTCCCCTTTACTGTTTACTAAAATGTACTTTCCAGCAAGACATCAAGGCTTGATGTAAAGACATCAGGAGGTGAAAAATGCATTATTTCCCTTGGTAGTTTTTCCAAAATTTAACCATCACCCTCACTGTTAAAAATGTTAGCCTACTTTTTCAATGGCTTCAGCTTCCAACCATCGGTTCTCAATATGCCTTTTCG